AATTAATTTAGTAATTAAAATTAAATATTTTAGGTTCGCGTTTAGGCATCTTGCTTTACGCAATGTAACGACAGAAATAACAACATATTTGTCACGATTGTGGAAGTGAACACAAGGGTTCTATTTTGGAACGTAGCTAAATGAATTTCATTTGTCACATGTCCATAAGGTTTTGATTTGTTCAGGCGCTGTATTTGTTGTTGTTTGAAAATTTTATCAGTTAGTTGTGTTTTGTATTAATTTGGCGTTGCACTTGTTTAAAGAACCACAGTATGCGCTAGAGTCAGATAAGATATAATCTTTTTTCGGGGAAAAGGCCGAAACATGTTTAATCCGGGGTCTATACGGAAAATCCAAGTGAAAAACTTTGTAACCTATAGTTATATGGAAATGTTTCCAGGGCCTAATTTGAACATGATTATAGGCCCCAATGGAACAGGAAAATCTACGATCGTTGCTGCTATTATTCTAGGCCTAGGGGGCCAGCCCAAAACAGTGGGTAGAGGTACTAAGTATGTATTTAATATATTGATAATAAGTAGATATGTGCAACAGTTTCATGTCCAACAGTTCAACATTTTTTAATTTAATTGCAAGTAGGAAAATGAACACTATTTGATTCGAAAAGATAAAATGGATTAGATAAAAATATCTACTGATAGACACATATTACTTATTTGGTGCAAAAACGCCTATGAGTTACCTGAAAATCATGCTAATAACTTTTCATTGTATTTACGTACACTGATTAATTTTACATATCAGAAGAATGTTTTAACACAAGCACGTGCAATAGCCATGACTCGAGCGTGAAAAAGATATTAACAATTCGTCCAATATGACAAAATTCTGAATTTTTACGGGTTGTTAAAATCCCTGTTCAAGAGGTACCCAATATAAATCTTTTATTTTAATAATAAATAAGAAAACACCTAAAATACAAATTTTAAAAGTTTTACCAAAGAGCGGGAAATATGAGGACCGCAGGGAATCAATCAAATGAGTGGTTTCAAAACCTCTTGAAGCAGACTGGAACTTTCTGTCTGTTTTAAGGAGATTATTTCTGATGCCTCAAAAAACTAGGCTAAGGACTGATTTTTCAAGGATTTTAAAAAAGTCTCAAGAGCGGCAAAGATGTAAACTAGAAATCCAAAAGAAAAACGAACAAGCCAAAAAAAATAGGGCTTCAAATCTTCATGAAGCAGATACTTAACAGTTTATTTGTCTACTAAGGATACTTGACCCTCTCCGTCTATACACATTTTAGTCCAATCGGCTCAAAGCCCCGTTTTTAAAGGGTTGCTTACATATAGGCCCAAGGGCGGCAAAGAAGTAAAAAAAAATCATAACTTTAACTCTTTATGCAGCAGCGACTTGAAAATTTGTCCGTCTATTAACACGTTCGCGTTGTAGCCGATTTTGGATCTGATGATTTCATTTGATGTGTTCGTGTCCGTCTACGACATGTGGTGTTTAATGTTTATTCAAAGGGTATAGGTATTAATAGCACTTTGGCTATTATTTCACTTTGTGTTCATTTTAAGGAAAAATAATCACATTTATTACCTTGAACACCATCAGCAAACCGACCGAATAACCATTTTGTTCTTCAGGATATCAGAATATGTAAAACACAATTGTAACACGGCAGAGATTAACATCCAACTACAAGGATCGACAGAAAATTCCTTTATTAAAGTTACCAGACAATTCGACATTCATGATAAATCTCAATGGAAATTAGATGGAAACGTTTGCTCATTTGGCAATATTCAAGATTGTATTAAATATTTTAATATACAGGTGAAACGAAAGTCCAGATTTACTCATTGATTAGTTGATTTCATTATGTGTTTATCGTTTGATTTTAGGTTGATAATTTATGCCAATTTTTGCCTCAAGACCGCGTCGCGGATTTTGCCAAACTAAACAAGAAGGAGTTATTAAGAGAAACCCAGGTAATTGAAAGATTGAATTTACACCAGTATTTAAGTACTAGTAGTACATTTTCAAATTTACATTATTTTGTCTTAATATTGCGTATAAGTTTTTTGGTTGCTCAACATCATAAACATAAAGATCCTTAAGAAAATGAACCGTTTTATAAAAAACGCAACATATTTCAATAATAGCAACCAAGAAGAATTAAAAACTAACACTAATTACTTCGTAAATGAATTATTCATTAGATAAGTAGGTGGACTCGAGTACTTACTTATGAAACGTTTTTTTAAAATTCAGATTGCTTTATGTAGAGATGATTTGTTGGAAAAGCAACAATCTTTAATTGAAGCCAGAGCAAAGCACAGATCTTTGTTAGAACAACTTAATAAACACACGCAAAATTTGCAAGAATCGCACGATGCCAATTGCAGATTAGAAGGAAAAGTTAAAAATTTCAATGAAATGAAAAAGTACAAAGGTTAGTACAATTTTTGGCACTTTAGATGATAGAAAGCTATTTATTTTACAACTACGAACAACCTGGTTATTACACGTTGGGATCGAATACATCCGATTGGTTTGGCGTGCATTTATTTGTGGCAATTGTTTTTTGACCCCATATTTTAGAAATGATTGCTGATATTGATCGACAAATCGCCTGGATTGAATATGAGGACAAACGTGATAAACTTACTGAAATTAAGAAAGATAAACAATCGGCACAAGCAATATATGACAAATACAGGTAAATCATTCAGTCATTCGACTATTTGACCTGTTTGCTGATACATTTTGCTTTAGACAAGAAATGAAACCTTTGGAAAAAGAGATTCATGCCCATAGAGCATCTTTGAACGACTTCCAACAAAAAAACTCAAAAATAACACAAAATATTCGGTAAGTAAGAACATTTAATTTTATTTTACATACTAAGGTTGCTCAAAGTGCTTGAATGTATGTAAATTTTTGCACATTTTTTCAATTTTATATTTTGTTTGTTTTCATTTATAGTATGATTATTATAGTTTACCCTTGAAATAATTGTACTTAAAATAGTAATTAATGAAAATAATCTACAGTGAGATTCAATAAAAAATTACAGAAATAAAGAAGGCCTTATCAATACCACTATTGAGAAAATGGAAGCTCTTATGTCGAAAGTAAGGCATTTTGAGGATGAAATGAATACGAAATTAGCAGAGTGCGAACAATGGGACAAACAAATTCAGGAAGCAACCGTCAAATTAGAAGACAGCAAAAAAGTGTATAGAACCCTTTTAAAGAAAGTGAACCAAGGTATAATTAACTTCGCAGTTTCAAATTTCAAAACTCTCAGGATATACGTTTATTTTTCAAGACGAACATGAGTCGCAAGAGATTTTCAAACATATTACAAGATGCACTGATCGGAAAAGGCAGTTGCAAGACCAAAGAGATTTGATTGAACAAGACCGCCTAGCAAAGAAAGCAAGCATTAAAGCATTGCAATACGAGCAAAGCAAAATTGAAAACGTTAAACAAATTAGATTTGAGCAAGTAAGTTCGATTTGTTTTAGTACATACTTAAATTTAATACTTATTTTAATATTTGCAGTTAAGGAAATTAAACAAAGATGCCTACTCGGCAGTTTTATGGCTACGAGAAAATAAAGATAAGTTTAAAGGTAAAAGAATAAGATAATTATAATTTAATTGATACATTGTTGAGAAAGCAGACACTCAAATAATGTATACATACTACATTGTGCAAAAGAACTATTATATCATGTTATTATTTTTAGGTGAAATTTTTGAGCCAATAATGCTTGAACTAAACGTGCTGGATAAGTCCAAGTCAAAATATGTAGAATCCTTGGTGCCTTTCAGAGATCGATTAGCGTTTACGTGCACGGATAAATATGACATGAACTTGTTCATTGGTTACATCAGGAAACAGCAAGGTTTGTCAGTAAACGTTCTACATTCAGGTTAGTACTCGATTATATCCATATTCAATAAAAACATTTTTTTTATGAAAAATAACTCAAATAAATTTAATTGCGTGTTTAAACGATTTCTTCTTAATCTTATACTCATTTTTTTCAACTCGCTCTCTTATCGATTATATTAATTTCTTCATTTGTAAAATATGTTCGCTCTTGTAAATAAAACCTCAACTGTAGATCAAAACTCACAAATAAAAGTAAATATGGCAAATAATGGCACATTTGTATTCCATAGGACCTGCCTCTACAGACTACAAGAAACCAAAGATTCCAATTGAGCATCTCAGAAAATTCGGATTTGGTGCTTATGTTAATTTCTTGTTTACTGCTCCTGAACCGATTATGAGATATTTGTGCCAAACATATAAGTTGCATAACATTCCTATCGGAGATAGCAGCACAAATGACTGTTATGGAAGCGTGCCAGATCAATTGCCGGTATTTTTTAGTGACCGTTCCAGGTAAACGGAATTCACCATTGTTTTTCCTAATTCATTATTTTAACTTGCAATTTTTCAGATTTTCCATAAACTATTCCAAGTATTCCCGCGAAAAAAGCACTAGGCAAGATCTTATTAGAGGTGACGGAGGGTTATCTTTATCCCTAGATAGCATTGCTTTAGAAAATATAAAAGGTAAATTGCAATAGTACGGAAAGTACAGAATTAATTTAAATTATCCTCATTTATCAGAAGTTTTACGTTGGTTTTACACAAAATAAATTAACACTAAATATAAAATCAAGTCAGCTATACAGTATTATACCTGTATGGTTACATATATAACGGCATGATTCACTAGCAAAAGTAAAAGTAGATTTTATGTTATTTTATTTTCGGTTATTAAATTTATTTTGTTTAAACCGATTTTTCGTGAATTATATGAGTTGAAAACTGGTTTTCTATTTGAGAACATTGACTAAAGTTTAATTCGATATTTTTGTGATTGAGATTATTTTTTAAGGTCTTTATGAGAAAACTAAAAGAGAACTGGAGTACTTGGAAAGTCAGTTAAGCAATTACGACATTCAAATTGAAAAAAATGACGACGAATTAAAATTGCACAAGGATGCAATAAAGGAGATTCGAACCCAAACTCAACAGGCTGATGTAAGGAAGCCGCTTTGAGAACATATACAGGGTGTCCGTTTTTGGAGCTCCACCATGATGATTTCGGTAACCATATAGAGGGATCGATATATGATACGAGATCGATTAAATTGGGGCAAAGTTGCGCCATCTAGAGCTTACTAAAATGCTCATTGAAAATGTTTCCTACTTGTAGAAGAGAAAAAGTTGCAATGATGAAGTATTATTAATTTTATATTTCCGCGTCAAATAAGGTAAGGAAAAATATAAACTTTTTTCCAAATTTCGATTTTTTCCGGTTATCTCCGGGAATAGCAGATTTTTAAAAAAATTTGAATGAACATTTTAGTAAGCCCTAGACTGCGCAACTTTGTCCCAGTCTAACCAATCTCTATGTATCTAGTATGGTTAGCGAGATCCCCATGGTTGAGCTCCAAAAACAGACAACCCGTATACAACAATGTTGGTTTCAGACTTTAAAAAATAAAATCGCTGCTGGGGAAGAGCGTTTAAAGCAAATGAGCGAAAGCAAAAAGGAACCAGAAGCAATAAGAAATGAGGCGAGACATAAAATGAAAAAATTAATTCAGACCATGGGAGTTTTACAAGATAGTATTAATAGCTGCTTTAAAGAATTGGCACTCTCAATGACCCAAAATGCCATCAACTCTGTAAATGTTGAAGTGTCCAGGCAAAAGGTTGAATATTTCGACAATCAAATCGTTGATTTAAGAAGGTGAATTAAGTTGACACATACTAGATTGGCGCGTCTCATTTTTTATACTTATGTGAATTGATAAGTGTGGTCAATGTGTTCTTGCCTAATTTCTAGGCTGATGGAAGAAGCAGGAGAAACTCTTAATTTAGTAGTAGATAGGTATAATGCTGCTATGCAAGCAGCCAAAGCTCAACTGCAAAAAGCCAAAAGCTTGTCTAATGGATTTACTCCTGCTGATGACGGATTTGACAAATTCCGCCAAAGGGCTAAATCACTAGGAGGTATGATTTTCGGAGTTGTAATTTAAAATCGTTCCATGGTACACGCTTGGACAAAGTGAACATTTGCTTGATTACAACCCTCTAACTAGTTATTTGGTTATCTCGATTTTAGTGTAACGAGTAACGAAAAAGGTTCAAAACGGATCTCAGGACCACCATATATTTTACTCTTATTTTCTTAATTTTTTTTTAAACAAAGCTATTTCTATTCATGTAAGATGTATTTTTTCTGCGAATGTTACAGATAATATTGAACAACTAAGCGCCGAGAAGGAAAATATCAATTCTAGAATCGCTTGTCTCAATACAGCAGACGATACCGAAATTAAAGAATATGAAGATCGGAAAAACCGGATAGAGAAACTTGGACAGAATATCGATACTATAAATTCAGATATCAACAAAGTTAGCTCAAAAATGGAACGACTGCATGAGGTAGAAGAGCGAATTACAATCAAAACATCAGATTTTTGAAAAAATCCAACTCAAAATGGGGATTACTTTAAATCCAAAATAAAACTGAGAACTGAAAATGTTATATAAGGTATTTATTTTAGGCATGGTTAACTCCATTGAATGATTTAATAGCTGAAATCAATCTGAAGTTCGGTAGTGCATTCGAAAGGATGGGTTGTGCAGGCGAAGTGGGAATATGTCAAGGTGATGATGAAAAAAACTATGAGGATTATGGAATTTCCATTAAGGTAGCTTTATATTGTCTTTCATAAAAATGCCCTGTTGTTGTGTAACAAACTTCTCAGTGTAATGTTCTGTTAAATTGGAAGGAAAAAATAATTCGATTCATGGTTTTTCCTGGCTGGGGAATATTTCAACCAGCTTCAGTGATTATTACCAAATAATCTGAAAGTTTATTTAAGGTGAAAGAATAAAAGTCGTTAACTCTGATTGTTTTTGGTTCAGGTAACTTATAGAAATGGGGAACTACTTCAAGAATTAAATGCTGTAGTTCAAAGTGGGGGAGAACGAGCGGTTGCAACGGCTGCATTTATGTTAGCGTTGCAGGAACTAACACCGGTGCCCTTTCGATGTGTGGATGAAATCAATCAAGGTATTTTTTTTTCTCAATTAGATTAGACTGGTTTTAAGTAATTGTATATAGCGTTGCTGCATGTATTGTAATATCAGGAATTCATAAATTTTTTGGTTTTTTTAGGGCTTTTAATATCAAAATGCTCTTTCTGAATAAGAGCGTCAGAGTTCAAAATCCCTTTTATTTAACACTCAATGTTGAAATATTCACTCAATACAGAGGTACGGAGAATGTACGCTATTTTCACCCACGTGTGTATTAAAACACGTTTCAAACTATTTTATGTTTATATTTATTACAATTTTGTATTATTTGTCGCCACTATTTTCGTGCTGGTGTCACCTTGGGTCGATTTAGCAACGTCTTTTTTGAAAATAAGAAAAATATTGGCTCTTTTTTTTGCACATCTGTGAGTCGTTAGAATACGTTTTTGCTTTGGATTTGTTGGCTTGATATCGGATTTCCTAGAAACTGCAAACAAGCATTGGCACAACCTGAAAGCAACTTTTGAATTGGGATAATATGTTCTGACTGTACCATACTTACTTTGTTTTTTTGAATGCATTTCGAAATGTTATGTTTGTGACTGAATATATCAATGGATTCACTGCTGCATTCACTATTAGCAAGTATTTTGAACTGAACCATAAGGAATGATATAAACCATTAATCTAAAAATATGTTTAATGCATTGTATTATCTGAAAAATATGTAGATGTCCACAAGTAGTCAAAAAAGGCCAATTAGTTTTAACTTATAATAAATATTTCCTGTTAAATCTTTATTGGGCTCTTAGACGGAAAGTTTAATTTCAACATTAAATTAATGTCTGCGATGAAGATGCTTTTTTATGATGACTTTTGGCTCTACATTATTGATTTCCTTTAGTTTAGGTGATTTTCTAGTTTGTGCGCCCTTCGCTTTTTAAGTTAAAAATATGCTATCTAACCTTATAGAAAATTCCTTTACCACCAAATTTTCTTAATGGTATCTTTTGGGAAAATGCTGTTTTCAACCAGTTTTCGTTTATTGAAGTTTGCAATTTTAAACAGTTTCTGAAATTTCCCGTTTTGTAGGAAATAAATGCATTAAAAATATTACAAAAAGGCACTTTTTTAAATTTTAATCAAAACTAGCATAAACTAACCGAAAATAAAAAATGAATCACAACTAACTTAAATACATACAAAATATGTCCAAGACAAAATCGCTAAAACAAAGCGAAAATATAACACAGAAGCAGGGAAATAAATGTTCTGTATAATTAAAGCGGATTAAGGTTTTCAAAACCAGTTTGTTGGGTATTTCTCATCAAAATGAATATTAAAAGACGTGAAGAAATGTTGACTGTTTTAAATGAAAAAACTCTTGAGGCGAAATAGCCCAACAAAAAGGTTTTGAAAGCAGAAAAATAAATGTTTATATTGTAAATTTTATGTTTAAGAGTCAAAACGCGAAAATGTAAAGTGTTGGTAGCTTTGCGCTTTTTACAATCCGTTCTTAATCATCTTTAAGTGATCTGGATTAAGGAGGCACTCGGTGCATACGGCCATAAGAAAAGTTGTTAGTACAGCTATTATCCCTGTATAAGATTAGCGTATTTTTACTTTGCATGCAAAGGGTGTATAAACTAGAGCAGTACCGCGGTTTGTTTCCTAATCTTTAAAAAAATTATAATCCAGCATACAAAACTTGTACAACTTGTATGTTTTGAACTTGTCGATTCATTGACACTAATAATAATAGATTATGTTAGTCTTCCACCAGAAAGGCGTTGAAGCACTCGTTTTACCTAAAACTTGGCTTTGTTTCAGGTATGGATGCAAACAATGAAAGGCGCATTTTCGAACTAATAGTGGAGACTACTGGCCAGCAAAATTCAGCACAGTATTTCCTTATCACCCCAAAATTAGTCCCTAATCTAACATATTCACGTCAATTAGTAGTCCAAATCGTGCACAATGGTTTGTTTATTGAACCCGACAGGAAATGGTCTTACTCAAAATTATGCAATTCCCAAGGTGTTCATATTTAGCAGGTAAGTAGATTTTTTATGGTTTAGAAGTGACGGACAATAGTCAAGAAAATATGCATATATTGGCTTCATCCGAAGTACGTAAAGGGTATTTTGAAACGTTATTACCGTCAAATCCTGATATGTGGTTCAAAAGCCCATACACACAGCACAGTATGGGACATTTACTTTCCATAATAATATACTTTAAAATGATAAGGTATTTGTGTGCTTTATTAGTAGTAAAGATACTTGGTTTATTGAAAATATCTTTATATTTTCGAAGGTGGTGAACCAGTTGTTATGATTAACATAACTTTCTATACTTTTCCAGCTACTCTATTGAAGTACAAACTCAGTGAAAATTAATTTCTATTCTGTTGTCTACCACTGTTTGCAAATTAGTTACTGTTTTTCTGTATCGAATGTGGTTTGCTGCTGATTGAGCTACCTTTATAGTGACTTTTCTAACGCGTTTGTCCGTAATAAACTAGTGTACGAGTTTTAATTTGTTTAATGAGATTTTCTATTTTTGAAATCAGTTAAGTGTTCGATCATGTAACATACAATATGTAGGTCACAATTGTTGATGTACTTTTTAATTAAATATTATATATTAAATTTTATACCATTTTTTTGTATCAGGTACATGTTTCTTTCTTATTTGCTAGAAACGGCAAAAGGATGATGCTGCCTTGTTTGTCTTGTATTTGATTGATTGCTCAAAACAAGATTTAACGCAAAATTTCTTCCATATACAGAGTGTCCACCAATGTATTCGAGATACGGCAAATTTCAAACTATGACATGGTCTCATGTTCATGAGTAATTTTAATCAAAAATTGTTTTTAAGTAAAAGAATTGCCTCAATATTTTATGAACCGGTGAGAATTAGTGACCAGAAGAATTTATATACGAGGTATCGTATCATAATATATATATCATCTTTAAATTTAATCGGAATGATCGGAGGTGCGTTTTAATATTTAGTATTTTCATTATGTTCAGGCTTAATTTAATTTGCATATTTTGTGTATTCTTGCCGCACTTTCTTTTAATATCAATAACGATTGTTCAGGGTATGGAGCCAAACTAAGAATAAGCGAACGTTTCTTTGTCGAAAATGATGCAAAATAGCGACATTTACCAATTGCTTGCACAATACCAAGGAAAAATGCGTGCTGTTAAACCCAAGAAAGTTGTATTTTCAATTTCAATCCTGGACTATAACACTAAATTTACTTTTTCTGACAAAGTTTTTAATTGCAGTCAAAGTGAAACTTGATTGAAATATACTTTTCTTCATGTAATTTAGTTTCGTTTAGTTGTGAACGTACCCAGGAAAAAGTAGCTATATAAGTTTGAGGTTTAACTGAAACAAACTTACAATGAACAACGAAAAGCTTTCGGCATCAGCAGAGCCGTCATGAGCTTTTGAAGAAGGCAAGTGCAGATTTTGAGGTGCGCTAACCTCCGACACCCGAGGATGGAGGTTTCGGGATCGCAAATTTCAGGCCGAACGCAGCTGATGAGGGCTAATAGACTCGAAACCGGTTCTGGGGGTGCCTGAGATCAGCGCACCTCGAAGTCTGCACATGCCGACTTCAAAAGCTCATGACGGCTCTGCTGATGCCGAAAGCTTTTCATTGTTCAAAGGTTTTCCGATGTTGGAACTCAACAATCTGGAACATGGTTGTGTCTTCTAGTAAGTCTGACACTCGGACAAGAACAATAGATGGCTACAGCAACTAGTTTCCGCGCCGATGTAAATATATTGGGATTATAAAGTGCAGGGGTAAATATTCGGGATCGCTAATTTCGGGCTGAACCCAGCTGATGAGAGCTAATAGGCTCGAAACTGGTCCTGGGGGTGCCTGAGGTTAGCACTTCTCGAAATCTGCACTTGCCTACTTAATACTTACAATGTTTGCTACGTCTGCTGTCTTTGTACTGCTTGATTTTAGCATTTGATGTCGGTAAATGATGAAAGCTGTGAAAGGCAATCTGCAAATCATGAAAGTCACAATCACAATGAACATCATTTTGGCTGCGCTTTTCTTATATCCCAAATGATGATGATTGAATGACTTCACGATGATTTTCTCGTATTTATTTAACTAAAACAGGAGCATGTTTTGGAGAATTGTAAATTTTTTATTTTAATAAAAAAATCGACGAATAATGTGGTGAATTTTGCCGTACATTTCTCACCATACGGGGAATCAGAAGTGAAATTAAAATATTTTTAAAGAATTGTTTCACATCTGCAACTTAATAATCATTCATATAAAGGCTGTTTATAGAAAACAGAACTATCAATTCCAAGATTATGATAAAAATTTTCATTTCAACTTCTTACTTCTGTCGTGACGCAACGAAAACTATATTTTCCTCATGAGAAATTATCTCTCCGTGTTTTCGTTTTCAGGATACAGGGGTTACATTTGTTAGAAACCGTTTGAATTAGAGAACCGAACTGTTACTCACACTTTACCGCTATTAATAGCTACTTTGTCCCATTTTACGCGAATTCTTTGGACGTGCGTTAAAGTGGTGGAAATTATGAAGATTTTAATATATCTTTTGGGTTTTTCTTCTTTTACTTTTTCAACTTTTACCCCACCGAAACAAACTAGTATTTGGCACGAAAGGGTTCACTATTCTAAAGTTAACAGTTTTCGGGAAAATGGCTTTTTATGAACAAAACACAGTTTGCTAACGTTTAAAACAAGTTATCGTAGAACTGTGAAGATTATATTGGCAAATTAATTAATTGCCATGCTGCTGAGTGTTAATTTGGAATTGTTTAAAGCTATTCGAAGTGAGGTAAAATGGATGGTTTTACTAATAATAAATCCACTGACATTTTTAAAAGTTGGCAAAACATCTGTTTTTGTTCATTAAAAGCCATTTTTCTCAAAAAAACGGTTTCTTTAAAGAAGATGTGAAATTTATTCATTCACAAATGCACGATGTCAAACATGGAAAAGAGAAAAAATAATTTCAATTTTTATAAGAAATCCTTATTTTTTCGTTGCGACACTTACTTAGGAACACTTACTTTTATTCGTGATTTGTTTGCAATAAATTACCTTAAAGAATATGGTGGTATAGCAGATGATCTGTATCGTTAACGGCAGCCACACCAAAGCGGTAATAATAACATACCAATAAATATTCGTAACTATTACTTGTTCTGTGCAATATCTTTCATCAAAATTTTTCCATTTTCGTTCCTAAAATGCGTAGATTTATAATTTCGGGCCATTGCATGAAACTGGTGATATTTTCGGGCTTTTATGGCCATCGTGGAAAGTGATTTCTTTTTAACATTTCGCACGCACAAGTGCAGTCTGAAGACGCTATTTTTCACAACGGCCTAAACGCCCAATAATTAACCAATTTCAACACGTAGGTGTTCAGTTATATTAATTTACCCTGTATTCTCGGAAAATAGCCAAAGGAGCAGACAAGATTAACGCAATTATCCACGTGGAGCAAATAACTATTTTAGATTTCATCTTGTCGATTCTAGTCTCACTTGGCAAAACTATCGCAGTCAGCCTATCGTACGTTACTGCTGACATGCTTATAACACTTGCTAATAAAATTGTGCCTACAACAAGAATTTCAGAATCACTCGGACACAAAGCGCTTGTATTTTATAATTTTACTTAACTTAACAAAATATACTTGTGATAGGAACGTCTTTGACAAAATTGAATACTTTTTAGCTGAGTCGCTGAGTATAAAGTACATACATTCTAGTGGGCCTTCGCCCTTACAACCAACAGCACCAAGTTGGTAATTCTGAAAGTAGTCGTAAACAAATATAAAGCATGGATACACTATGGTTGATAACATATCGGCAATTGCCATGTTGCCCACAATTAAATTAGTCGGCGTTCTAATGTGTTTGTTGCTTTTCAAAACATAAATCACCCAAAAATTGCCTACAAGAAAGTAATTAAAATAAAAATTCATTTTTTTATGTATAGACATCACCGGCTAATCCTAAAATGCAAACAGGCAGAAACATAGCTACATTTATTAAAATATCATGAGTGCCCTTGTTAAACCAGATTGTGTTCGGAAAATCCTGGGATTCGTAGTCGAACTAAAAAAACCTCTTTTTGTATATTTATTGCACTATTGCTACTTTTCCTTTCGAAAACTTACCGCATGAATATCGTGACTAAACTCTGTTGTTAAATCGCCAACGTAGCTGGTGTTTTGAACACTTTTACCTGTTCGCAATGTAGTGAGGTCCATTTTTACTTTTATTTTAACATGCCAACTACATTCAGACCCTCTTTTCACTATCAAAGAATCAGCGGGAAAATATTTAGCTTTGTTCCCATGGCGCTTATCAGTAATCAGTGGAAAGCAGAAAATTGATTTTTATTTGCAAAGCTTTTACTTTATTTAATTACACCATCTGGCTATGGTATATGGTATGTATATAATGGTATATTTTTATCAAACTCCTATCAAATGTATATATTGTTTAGTCATTGCGGGGGTAGTTTTATTAATGTATGCTACCAATATTAAGTAACCGAATTATGTTGTTTCAATTTTGACTACATCACTTTACCAGAAACGCAGTAAACTAATTCAAAATAGAAAAACAAAACGAAGCTTTTAAACAATATTTATTGAACTCGTTAATTGAATATTTAAATGAGCCCTGACCCCGTATACTTTATATACAAAGCAATAAAAAGTTTTAATATACAAAATTTGCTGAAACTGACGATGGTAACCTAACATAGTAGTTTTACAAAAAAATATATTCTACAAAATATGTATCAAAATGTTACTTTAGTTACTCACTAATCTTAATTATTGTTAGTTCGTTTGACAATTTTTTCGAGTTTGTTACTCAATAATAGAATGTATATGTGGCGACTTACGTTATTTAACAATACTTTCGCTTTTAATATTAAGACTGAGATGGTGTATTTAAAAATAGTTTTTCAAAATTTTCAAAAAGGCATGTCTGCAGTCTTAATAGAGTAAATATTACCATAAATGAATTAATACGAATTGCATAGTCGAATATAAATAAATTCCTATAAACTATAAACAAAATAATGTAATTAAATAAAATAGAAAGCATCTATTAATTTAAAGAAGGCAATATAAATGTGTTTTACCGGAAAAAAATCAAATAAACCCGAACATGTTTGCACCAAAATAAATAATAGAATATTGTTAATAATTGTAAAACACTGGCTAAGTACTAGACAACATATGTACAAAAGCAATGTTTAATCTTACCATTGTAAAGTTAATTTAAAAAATGCCGTTATGTATGATAAGTGAGAACTTCGGCGTTTAAACCAAGGAACTGTATAAACGTACGACGCTTAAAACATGTTGAAAAACTGCTGGTATTAAATTCTACGATTTACCAGAAGCTCTCACACATCATAGTTGCACAACTAGAATTAGTGTGACCTTCTGGTTAGGCTTTAAGCGTTATTAGCGGTAGAGGATATTCAAATGCTTAATTAGGTCCATCGTCTCCATCCATTGCTTCGTCTTGTGTTGTGGAGTCATCTCCGGAACCATTTCCACTAGTTTGAATTGACCCACGCTTAGTAGAACTAAGACGAGACGAAGATAGTCCCATGCCAGTCCCTCTCCTAATAGAATGTGAATTAGAAACAAGATCTCTTAACGTACATTTTCCTTTGCATTGCAAGCTATAAAGCTTTTCCCGTAGATGGAATAGATCTGAACAAAGCACACCACGCATTTCAATGTCCTTAAAACACCGGTTTTGATGCCTTGCTTTAAATTGTCAGCGTCACTAATCAGTATGAAATACACACTGTTTCAGTTATTATCAAGCAAAAAACATGTTATTAACGGTACAAAACATGGATCAAAAACAAAACAAATGCAATTCATTATTGAGAAAACGAACTTACTGAATCTCTATAGAAGCACCTCGTATTTTTCTTATAGCTTCAGGAATGCTATTTTGGAGGTTTTCATTTGTTGTAAATGCAGAAGTGACTACTTGATTCATGCTTTAAAAGAGCACAAAAATGATATATATTACGTATCTCAACTAAATAGGTACGTAATGAAAGGATTAAACTGAGATTACTTGATGAAGATTTTCCATATATAGACACATGTGTGACAAATACCATTATATAAATGCTATTAAGTGAATAAAGCGGTATTCACTGGCATTTTTCTGTATTGCTGATGCATTAAATCAGTAGCTTTTTTAGAAATTTAATTGCATTCGGTTAGCGGATATTTCAATAGGCGCTTCACTGTTTGGGTATATATTTTGTCTCCTAATAATATTAATATTAAATGTTCGAATATAGAGTAAACAAACAATTAATAATTGAAAATATATACCCGTTTATTGCAGCAAACTTGAATGTTAATAAGCCAAAGCCACGACTGCTGAAATTATTTAGCTTCACACGATTATAACCACATACCAAAATTTCAGTTTTCATATTCGTGTCGAATCATCATTTCAAAGTGCTGTAAACAGTGAAAATGTCTTTATTATCCTTGCAATGTGGACTGCATTGATATGAGAATTATTTTATAGGGTTAAATTGCCTTCATTAACTGTTGAACTTTGGATACTTCGATATTTACACTATTTTTAATGTCTTACCTGAGTTTGCTTTTCAGATTATTGATCTCTCTAGTCATGCTTTCATGAGATTCGATCATATCCTCGCATTCTCTCTGTGCTTTACGTTTCTGTGCCTTTTCCCTAGTGACTTCTTCTTCTGCTTCATCCAATTGTCGTTTGAGTGCCTTCACTCTAGTGTTGCCTTTCTCCACCTGGAGACCAAAAATAAGCCAGATCAGTATTCACTTCAAAATTTATCACCGAACTCCTTACTTGTTCCTTATACTGATCTGCATGACGACGCTCATCTTCCAGTTGCATTACCAGTTCTTTAATCCTCTTATCTAGTTTACGATTCGACTTTTGCTGAGCAAGTCGCTCCTTGGCTTCGACCTGAAAGCAGCAATTACTCGATATTTTTAACCTTTGTTAGAACGCAGTAAAACTACCTCTAGTTGTTCTTCAAGGTTGCTGATCTTGCTCTCCAAAGTTGCGATTGTGGCCTTGGTCTTGGTTCGTTGAGCGGTTTCTAATTCAGTCAACTTAGCCTTTAATTCCTTATTTTGCCTCTCCAATAGTAGTCGTTGCGATTCGATTTTCTGGTTTGTGGATCGTTCGCTTGATAAATCGGTAGTAAGCTGATCAATGTTCAGCTGAGCCTGAAACGTAATATTAATAAGTTCGAGAATGTTCAATATTTTTTAATCACGTTGAAGCAAATTACCTTTCTTGTGCGATCTTGAAGCATTTCATTGGTACTTTGTTCCTCTTCAAGCTCTTCCTCCAAACTGGCGATTCGTGCCTCAAGACGACGTTTTTCATCAATAAGAAGAGACCCTTAAAAAAACATTAATTACAATTTTAATCATATAGTCTTTACCCTAGATTCTTACCTTTGTTGGTGCTGGAGTTAATTTCTTCTAATAGCTCGTCGCGTTCGGCTTCAGCTGCCCTTCTGGCTCGCTCTGAACTGGACAAATCTTCTGTTAGTTGCAAGACTTCAGCTTCCAAAGTTTTCACCTTCCGTTCAGCCTCCTTACTAGTGGCTGCCAATTCATCTCTGGCGGCTCTGGCTTCTTCCGCGTCTCGGATGGCTTCTTTGCACTGTTGTTGCGACTTTTTCAGTTGCTTCAAAGCATCGTCTTTCAGCTTGAATTGGAGCTCGATTTGACTTTCAAGCTCCTTAATGTCACCTGCAAAGAAAAACGAAACTTAAAAAATTATTTTCCTCTTTAAATAGTCGCATTAACCTTCCAACTTCTTCCTGGCACTAACAGCTGCGGCTCTTTGTTTTCTTTCTTCGTCAAGCTCAGCTTCAAGGTCTCTCAGTTGTTTGAGGATTCCTCGTCTTTTCTCTTCAGCCTGTTCTTCCTTGGCTTGAATGTCCCTTTCGAATTGGGTTCTTAATGCTTGCATATTAACTTCCAGTCGAAGTTTGGCGTCTTCCGTCAGTTGCAGCTCATCCTCTAGTTCTTCATTTTGAGCTTTCAATTCTGCCAATTGCGATTCTAGAGATCTCTTGGCCTAGAAGCAATTTAAAAAAATTAAAAAATGTTTGAAAAAGTCTTATCAAAGTAACTAACCTTTTCCAATTCATGGACGTTTTTATCAGCGGTGCCTTGGTTGTTGACTAGCTCGTCGAGCTCGCCTTGCAATTGCCTTCGAGTCCTCTCTAAGTCGTCAATTTTAACATTAGAATCGTCCAGCTCTCGCTTAAGAGAGAGAACCAAAGTTTCCTTGTCTCTTGCTTCTTTCTCAACAGTATCCTTTTCCATGGCGAGTTGTTCGCTTACTGCTTTTTCCTCGGCTAAAATTTTGTCGAAATTCTTTTGCTTTTTCTCTAACTCGGTAACTTTCTGTCTTTGGGTTTCTAAATCAATATTGGCATCTTCAAGTTCAGCAGCAATTTTCTTCTTGCTTTTTTCCAACTTGTCGTTCGCCGCTGTTAATTCTTCAACTTGTCTGAAACATTAAATAACAAATTAAGATTAAAACCACATCAAACAAACGCGGTTACAACCTCTGCAAAAATTCCAGATCTTTGGCAAGCTTCTTCTTGCTTTCCTCTAAAATAGCAGCTTGTTCAGCTTCATCTTCGGCTTTCTTTTTTGCTTCAACAAGCTGAACCGATATAATGGCAAGTTGCTTTTCCAAATTTTTCTTGGACTCTTCTTCTTCCTCGATTTGCTCTTGAAGGGCCTCCTTGTCTGATTCCAATTGTCTCAATTTGGAGCTAAGCGCCAGCTTTTGCCTAGTTTCTTCTTCAAGTGCCGCTTGAGCTTCGGCAAACTGCGACTCAATAGTAACTTGATTTTTAACTGCTGCAGATGCTCTAAAAACATTAAATAATCGTTTACACCGTCTTCTGGCAGTAAATGTTCAAAAAACATACTTTAGCTCTGCTTGTTCCAATTGTGACATGGCGTTTTCAACCTCTTGTTGCAACTTGATGGTTTTCTCTTGCAGTTCAACACGTGATCGGTCTACGTCCGCTAGTTTTGCCGTGATTTCAGCTAGCTGACTTTCGGCTTGCTTTCGTCTTCTCTCACCTAAAAGAAGAAATGAATTAGAAAACTGCAGGAAATCACAAAATCTAGAAGACTTACCTTCTTGGCGACTAGCTCCTACATTTCTCAGCTCGCTAGTTAAGTCGGCGTTCTCAGCTTCTAAAGTCTGTTTCGCTTTTTCCAAGGCAGCCCTTTGCTTCTTGATGTTTTCCATTTGCTCATTCAGCCCGGTCAGCTCTTGAGTGTGCTTGTGTCTCATGTCAGCCTGTGTAGCCTCATGAAGAGCAGTTTCTTCTTCCAAGCTCTTCTTAAAAGTAGCCAACTCTTGCTCACGTTTCGAGCGTAGTTCCTGTTGCGCTGCTGTGGTATCTAGAGAATCTAAAAGCTCGTTCTTAAGAGCCTCCAGCTCCTCGTTGAGGTCTCGCTTCATTTTTTCAGCTTTTGTTCGGGCAGCCTTTTCCGCCTCTAAATCTTCTTGGAGTTCTGTAAGCTGGCTTTCCAGTTCCCGTAAAGCTTTTTGAGCCTGCGCTTTCTGAGCTCCTTCTTCGTCGACTTTGACCATTGCTTGAGCAAGTTCCTCCTCGCGTTTTCCCAGCTGCAACTGCAATTCTTCGATTTGCATGCGCCTTTCCTGCACTTGTTCTTTCAAATCGTTGACTTCCGTTTCTACTTTCCTCTTTGTTCTATCGGATTCTTGCCTGTGTTGATGGTCCTTAAGAAGGCGTTCTTCCAGTTCGGCAATTGTTGTTTCATGCTTAGTCTTCAGCTTGGACAAGTGTTTAGCTTTTTCCTCCTCTTCAGCGAGAGCTTGACTTAAATCATTGCTGCGCTCTTCAAGAATCTTTTTTTCTTTTAGTAGCTTCTGGTTGGTGTCATCTGACAGAGCTAAATCTTCTTCTAGTTTTTTTATTTTTCCATCGCACTGAACCTTCTCCAGTTGTAGTTTTTGTCTAGCACCTTCTTCCTCTTCTAGTTGCTCCTCCAGGTCAGAGATGGTGATTTGTAATTTCTTTTTTTCTACAGTGAGGGTGTTAGTTCTTTCTTCCTCTTCTTCTATTCTGGCCTCAAGATCGTGCAAAATTTCTTCCAACTCCTGTTTTCTTGCAGTCAATCGAGCTCTCATTTCTTCTGCTTCCGCACATAATTCTACTTCAGCTTGCAGCTGCTCCTGCAAGACAGCCTTTTCCTCCTGAGCTTTTTGGAACTTCGTTTCATACTCCTCAGCCGCTTTAAGGTGGTGCTCCAGTTTATCTTTCACCTGCTTTAATTCATCTTCTTTTTGCATCAGCTTTTCTTCTTGCTTGGTAACTTCAAGCAACGGCTTTACTTTTGTGTACAGCCGCCACCACTGCCAGTTTCTCAACTTTAAGTAAGCTGAACAATTTCTTTGAATAATTCGGATAGCATTGAGCTGTTGAACGCGCTTTTGATAGTTGCGCCTTGAAAGAAAACCTCGACAAAATGCCTGAAAATTCACTATTAAATCGGTTATCTTGTAGTCTCGCTCTTCCTCCAAATGAGCCAAGACGCCAGCACGGAAGAATATTTTGCTTTGGCCAATACGGTACAAGTTGGACTCCAGTTCCAAGCTTTTGATCATCGTTTCGCAAGCCTTCTTGCCATCCATGAACCCTTTATTAATGACGTTAGGGGTGAGAAGCTCGTAACGTTGTCTAAACTCTTGGAATGGTATTCTATTTGGAAAGCCTTGCCTGCAAATACGAATACCTTCCAAAACACCGTTACATCTCAGTTGATCTAGTACTAAAGGTGCATCAATTTTGCCAGCTCGCTTTTCGTGATTAGGAATTATGCAACGAACGAAATTTGGATTGGTGTTGCGAAGAGTCACCATCAGGTTAGCCAGCTGTTCTTTATATAGATAGGAAACTGTTCGGAACATGCCTTTGGCTCTTCCAAGTGTTTCGGCATCCTTCCAAATATGCATCACAAATGGATCTTGCGAAGCTTGCAGCAAAGATACTACGTTTTCATTTTGCGGATCCATGTTCTTCATCAGCCATTGATTTGCGCAGTAATCTACTTTGCCAGCATAATGAATGATTGAAAAGTCAGCCACTCCACGGAAGTCGCTTTTCTTGAACTTGGGATGCACCGAATGAGCGCTTACGAGCTTATCTACAAACGTTTTGTCTGTAGCTTTAGGGAAGAGACACTCTTCATCCAACAGGGCCATGATTCCCATCGGTTTATCAATTAAATCAATTGTTGGTTGCAAGTCTAACCCGAAATCGATAAACTTCCATTCAATGCCCTCTCGCTGGTATTCTTCCTGTTCCAGAATAAACATAGTATGGTTGAACAGCTGCTGTAGTTTTTCGTTCGTGTAATTAATGCACAACTGCTCAAAGGAGTTAAGGTCGAAAATTTCAAATCCAGCAATGTCGAGAATTCCAATAAAACTGGCTCCTTGGCGCTTAGTTCTACCTAGCGATCGATTAATACGATTTACCAGCCATTTGAACATTCTCTCATAGCATGCCTTAGAAACAGCTTCCACAGCGAACTCGACTTGTTCCTTAGTCTGGCTCTTGGTGACGAAGTCGCGGCCCACTTTAATGCGAGGCTTCAAAAAGGCTCGCGTCATATCAGTAACAGAGAGGCCCAAGAGATGGGCGATTTTCTGAGCAACAGTGTTATCTGGCAAAGTTGCTTGGTCGGAATTACGATCTTGTTTAAACTGCATTTTACCAAAAAGCATTACCGCTGACACGACTCGAAAAATGGCACTGAAGTCTTCTGAAGTCATTCCCATTATATTCATACTTTTCACGGTGGCTTGGAATTCAGTGGCATCGTCCACTCCGGGTACAATATGATTGTCATCCCGTAGGAAACTGTACGATCTTGAGTCTTCAAGAATAAATTCCTCTGTGAACAATAAAGGTCAATTACACGACTGAAATATTTCCTGAAAATAGATCTTCAGATTTAATTTAAGGGCAACTTTTAATGGTTAAATTGAATGATTGATATATTATTGATTTTCTTGTCGAATGGACATAGGCATCAACTTGTAAATGTTGTCCTGCTTTACAGTTTACACTCTGTATGTACTATTATTGTTGTGTCGTTTTGCTGCCTGTTTCATCACTTAATTCTAAGCTCTGGCTGATGTAGGCCAACTTCAAACTTAAAAAATACACAAAACCTTACGTACTTTTCTGTTCAGCTGAAGCTCCAGCCAAAAGTTGATAAAATATATGGAATGTTCTTTCAGACTTAGCTTGTCTTATGGCACGTGATTTTTCTAATAGATAAGTTTCGATATTGGCACCAGCGATGTATCCAGAAGCATCAAAGTTGATTCGTATAAATTTACCCTGGAAAGTAATACATATTCTAAATTCTAGGATTCAATTATTGCATCATTGAGTATTATACATTTTCAAGTAGGTGGACAACTAGTGGAAAAATTAGATGTTTGCATACAGATAGTTAAAATAATGACAATATTTCATACATGTGTGTTCCCTAAAGGGATTCATTATAGATTTTAAAACGCTTTAAAACTTTAAAAGCTTAAAGTTCAGAAATACGTTTTAAAACGATAATCTAGGAGCGAAAATATGCTTAAAATATTTGATTAATTTGACAAACCCAAGTTTGTGGATGATTCTTTCCCAGAAGAAAACTATAATGTATATACATCTGTGCTAAATAGTGTTGTCCCAATAGATGTCCGTTTTATTTTTAGAACGACCCACATTCAATCGCGTTTTTATTTAGCTAAAGTAGTTACTTACGAATCTTGATGAATTGTCGTTTTTGATGGTTTTAGCGTTTCCAAATGCTTCCAGTATCGGATTGGCTTGCAAAAGTTGATGTTCCAGACCGCCCTATACACATATTGGAAGTTAATATTCATGACAAATTTACACAGAAAGCGAGCATTGCTTAGTAGAAATCAGCCAAAGAAACAATCCGTTAAATTTTCAGTTTTTTACACACACCGATATTTCAATACAAATGGTACCAGCTAGAGTAGTGTTGCTAATTAGAAGAAGCAAGTTATAATGCTAAACACAAAACTTCGTTTATTTTTTTAAGTTTATGACGAAAAAACTCGGTAAGCCATTATTAGTGCAACAACACTGGCAATTAAATTCTGCTCACTGCCATTACATACCGAAAATTCTCTAGATGGACTGGGCTGATTACGGTCGCATGTAAAATAAGGAAAACTACCTTAATGGTAAGAACAAGCATTGCGACTACATAAATTAATCCAAAAATCTAGTCTATTTACACTTGAAGCATATAATTAAATTCTATAGTTTTTGAACATTTAATGCATAACGAATGAAACCTTCGTATCTCCTTTATAGTCGTTTAATCATTTAGAACCTTGATTCTTAAACGCTACGTGGGTGATACTTAATAGGCTCTTGCCATTTGTTAGATCTGGGCATATAAGTCCACCACATCATTAATTCAAGTAATGCAAATGATGAATTATATTGACAAAAAAGTTGCTCACAGTACTTAAAAAAATGTATAGTAACTAGATTGGAAGTGAGTGCACCAAAGGAGAAAATCTACCTATATAGAACTTAAACTACTTATTTACATAAAAAAAAACTAGCTGGTAAAAGTGGTGTAAACTACTTACGATAAGGTCTTTTTGCTGCATGTGCGAAGAAAATCACCATGAAAATAAGAAGAAAAATCAACATTAGAATTCAAGCCCACATAGTAAATAAAAGAAATAACTCCCATAAAACACCTTTAAGAGTGTAGAATACAAATTGTAGCATTTTTAGGGGTGCTCAATGTGAATAATAGAAGTCGTGAATATTCAGCTTCCTAGGAATTCAGCTATTCCAAGAACTTAAGTCATTCGGTCAATATAGTAATATCATACTTGTACTGCAAAATTTATCTTGTCATATTTATCTGACTGATCTATTGATCTATAGATATGCAATGAAAGCAAATATTTACTAAAATTGGGTTTTAAAACATGTCGAATAAAGTGAACAAAAGTATGTACAAGAAAACTGTATTTTGAATATTCCTGAGCAATTATCAAGAGCAAAAACAATATATTTATGTAAATTACATACCGCACCCGATCCCTTAGGCGATTTGGAAGCAGCCACATAGGCCAAATACTGGATGACTTTCTTCGTATTCTCAGTCTTTCCTGCACCTGATTCGCCAGTACACAGGATTGATTGATCTTCTCGTTCTAGAAGAACATTTCCCGAACATTACACTCAATTTTACACGACATTCTACTTAGCTTTATCTACCATCATATTAGCTAGACAGGGAAGAAACAGATTCAGACATCAAAAAAGCAGGCCGATTTCCAACTGATCATCAGCAAGCAGTAAAAATTAATTATTGAATTTTAAAAAATTGGAATTTTGAAGATTTTTCACCTGCCTACTATTGCTAAAATTGGCGCCATTCCGTTAAGGGGTTATGGGGGCTCACCCTGTATAGTAATTTAATTCACATACATATTTCAACAAGGACTATTTAAACCAGGGATTCTCTTCAGGTAAAGCGGGACTTAATTTCAGAATAAATTACAAAAATAAAATAAAAACAGTGGAAATGAAATTAAATAATTGATAAATATCTTACCTTGTAACATGGATCGGTAGGCAGTGTCCGTAATGGCAAAGACATGTGGCGGGACTTCGTGCCGTTTTATGCCTTTGTATCTCTCCATTATCTTCTCTGTGTAAATTGGTAACTTTTTGTAAGGGTTGACAACCACACAGAAAAGACCGGAATACGTCTAGATAATAAAAAAATATATGTTAACCCCTGTAGTGAGCAATAATCGATCTACTGATCTACTTACGCCAATATTTTTCCTGTATATTCTGCATTATAACCGCGTTGTAATAGCCTATACTTAAAAATTAACAAGAACTGCTTAAGGAGAACATTTAGAATTTATTTAAATTAAAATGCTATAAATAAACTAGACCAATAATTATCATTTATTCGCCCCGACAGCTAGTTATCGGTATTGAATAATTTTTTCCTCTTAAGTACGCCGCAGAATTACAATGGGATTTCACTAAAGAAATTAAAACCAGTCTGAAGAAGTGTGGGTGATCCAACAAGCGTGTCTTGGACTTAATGCCATTTCGGTTCTCCGTGGCATTGACAAAACGCATTGAAGTTGATGATGATTTTATCTACTTAAAACAGTTTTACTGAAAATTATTGCGAACAAATTCGTTTATGAATAATTTGTATAAATAATGAAGAACACTAACTGCTTATTGAAGTATTTTCATACTTTTCTGATTTAATGAGGCCTCTATAGATTTTATGGTAGATTTACATTTTAACTGCCTGAATTTTTCCGCATGTCTAGGAAATATATTAGTTTTCCTGGAAAAATAATACTTCATAAGTGTTTTTCCTCGCATATTATGTACTTACTTATAAAAATATGGAATTTTTTGAAAAAAATGTGTTAAAAAAAATAGTTATATGTACTTAAAACAATGTTTCTTAAATTCATATTCATAATTCACAATAATTTAATTCTTAGTGCTCCGATTCAAAGTTTTCATCAGTTGATATTATTTAAGGAAGAAAACATTCGTAAGACTAGATATGTTGTTTTTACCCGTTTTTGTGTAAGTTACCCGAAATATATTATGAGCACTTTACAGATAATAAACTTTACAAAACGAACTTTTTATAAAAATGAGAGTACAACACGATTTCTCTTAGTTGTCCCATTATAATGAAATAGTTTGATTGCATCTAAACGATTAGACTTAGGCTTAAAAAAATCCCTTAATTTGTCCTTAATGTTTGTGATCGCATAAGATCTTATTTTCAAAATGTCCATTGCAAGGAATACTTTTCGCAAAAAAATAAAATTTGCGGTCATCGATGCGAGTATCAAAAGACTGCAAATTTAATGCAAAAATTGAGATAACATTTGTGTGTGTTATTAAAAAAACCGAAGTTGATGTCGGTAGTGCTTATAAAAAAAAAGGGTATTTTAAATGTTTGTCGATCTCTAACTGTTTAGACAAACGATTTTATATCACCTGGATATATAAATAAATATTTTCAGTTTGTTGCATGGTTTTTTCTCAAACTAGTGAAAACTCAACTAGTGAATCAAAATTGTAGTACTAAAATGCGGGAAAATCGGAGCAGAGGAACAAGTAATCAAAACCACGGTTAAAAACCAAATTAAATTTATTGCATTTCATACAAAGGTACATGCAAGAAAATTTGCACTAAAATAATTTTAAAATGCCAATGGTGCTTTCATTAAGATGTAAAAAAAACATTTAAACTTTTCAACGAAAGATTTATAATCGTGTTATCAAACTAAATGTTTTAGATACATTTTTGAACAGTTTGAAGAAATGCAGTTTGAAGCATTGGATTGTAATGGAAAAATAAAATTCAATGTGGTTTAAAACCGTCATTTAAAAGTTGATTAAATGACTCAAAAATACAAGATATTTTTATACTCAGTAAATGCAAATGCAAACAGAGTAAATGCAAATTTGCAATATCTAGGTGGTAAAATCATAGCACATAAAAACTGGTGTGGTCCTTGTTTTGACCACATCATTTAATGGTGCAGTTTGTGGGTTCCCATCCTTAAGGTCGGTGGCCTTTCAAGGTCGATGAATTTCGAACAAAAGTCACCCTTTGTTTGTCCGTTTCAGTGGAAAGATTACAGTCTGTTCATCGAACAGACTTCTTTCGAAACATCAACACAATATTCCTGACGCATTTCCCAATAATGCACATTATCGTCACTTTTAACAGTAGACCGGATTTTGCGACACACCTTAGTGGGTACAGTTTTTGCAAATGCTTATTGGTTTTGTGGACAATTAGCCGCGTTTGTTTGCAACAGATATTCGATTTCACTGAGGAAAAGTGATGATGCATCCATTAGCTAGATTAGGCACAAAGTTGTTTATAATAATCAACTCGTAACGGGTATTAGAATAAATTTGTCTTAGTCGCTCGTTACAGTTCAACTTGCATGTGAACTTTTCGAATTGATTGATGATGGATGAGGTGAAGACAGTCATTGTCTTAGTAAATTCCAGTTGTAAACGGTCAACCCAAAGCATTAAACTAGTGCTAAACTGCTTTCTTAACAATTTTCGAATAAAATCCAAACACTTTCAACAAAAAGCAAGCAATTCCTTCTTGTTCCACAGGGTAATTCGAAATTTCTTTGAAGCCGTAACTTGGGCTTACTTGAAAAACACGATAAACATAAAGAAAAAATGTTTTCCATTTATGGGTCGGAGAACAGTTAAAATTAAATTTCGACTTTTTCATTAACCAATTTTCAAATGCAAACTTTAGTTCAACATACTGACCAGAAAATGTACATTTCCAAAATTCTGCTAATTAAAGACATTTTCTAATAGACTCCAACTTTGGGAAAATTAAATCAAATTCAATTCAAAGAGCTGTCTATGGGTCTGTACTTTCAATTTTCCCCTAAGGAGGTTTATTGCAGATACACAGTGGCTCGTCTTCACTATCACTCTGCACACAATCGTGCAATCCGATTATTCGCAGTTTTTTAATTTAAACGTTACGAGATTTTTAGACCCTATCAGTAAGGGAAACGTAATAAATAGAGCAAAAAGCAATGAATACAACAGTATAGAATATAGTCTTGTCATTTACTTTCAGTTTTTAGTGAAAGAAACGAGAATGCAAACTTTTGTTCCCCAAACATCTTGGTGCAATTCGATCAGAAGATTAACAACTTTTGTGAAGAACCCGGCATAGAAACCAATATGTAAGAGTCTTGGTACCAAGTCCTTTTTTACACGAAAGTAAAACCAAAATAATGCTAGAAATGTTTCATTAATGGTGAATGTGCTTCTGAAATGATCACGAATTGCTCGAAACATTTGCGAATGGTTCGGATGAGCCCAAACAAACAGTCCAAAGCATTGCTTATCATCATTAGAAGACGCACTTGATTTGCCCAAAAGACATGTTAAAGTACTTTTGATAAACCGCATCTGCAACAAGACATTCTAAGAAACTAATGAAGGATTGTTGGTGATTAATTGGACAAGACAACTCTTTCGTGTTGATGTGGCGCTATGTTATCGGGACTTCTTTAGAATCTGCAATAATGAAAGAGATCCAGTACGCCTGAAGTCCCTGGCCTGCTGACCTGTACTGTCCATACATGGTAGATCCGAGTGGCTTCGGGCAGTCCCCTATTAAATTAACAAGCACGTAGGTAATACGTACATAAAAAGTTCGAATGGATAAATGAAGGTGAGTCAGTACGAGTTTTACGCAAAAGATTTCTTGCAACTTTTGGAACACCAGGAGATTTATATGCGTTGTGACTAATACGCCATTAAATCTCGGGCTGGGCCTCGAGCTTAAAACGATTTTCTATATGGAATCTTCCACGCATCTGAATATTTTCAGTTTTATTATATCGAGGGTATTTCTCAATCATTTTGTCAAAACTCCAAAATACTTTTCTTGCTGAAGGGTTTTTCGGCATAAAATTGATCAACATCTATTCAATATTTTTCGAAATGTTCTATAAACGCAAAACACACCAGAATGAGCGTCTAATCCCAATCGATGTAGTGCTGGAGCTTTATACATATATAAATATACCTGAATAGAATATAAAAAACCCAATGGGATCTAATCAAACAACACACAACAGTAGCAGCCAAAGATTTTTTCAAGGTTGCAGAATTGTGCTTAAAATCCGCATACTTTCAGTTTGAAGATGTGTTCACTTAAATGCTTTAATTATTTCAAATCTTTGCCATGGACAGTTCAGAAAATCAACCTTTTAACGCATAAATATATCCGTTATGTGGATGACTGTATAATAGAAAGACAAGATTCACTTAAATAGCAAATCTTTAATAATTTTAAATACATTTTTATTATTTATTTTAAAAAGTTATATAACAGCCTTCACGATCGAAGTTGCTTATATGAGATACATACTAGTAGCCCCCTTACATATTTTTAAATAAATGTAATACAAATGGGCAACAATAAAAATATGCTTCAGTTAAGTACTTGAAATCCAAAATTTTTTTAAATTTACGAAATCACTTTTAATAAACAACTACCACAATAACAGAGTACAATAGAATAGAATAAAAATAAATAAACAAAAATACAGAATAAAATAAAAATTATGTATAGTCTTGATATGGATAACAGTATATTTGTGCTTTTTGCTCGAACCGTCGAATATAGCAAAACAAAATAGGAAAAACCAAAAATATCCCAGAGAGCAACATCGAAAAAGTAGACGCCTAATGAATTTTCTTGAAATTAAATAAATTAAAATGTTGATAAAAACACATACGAATCCTAAACTTTCACTCCACAAAATCTCCCAAGAAAAATCTATACCAATACGCATTAATATGGCTGCTTTTGAAGCAAATTTATAATTAAACTAACAAGAAAAATGTTAAAACCTCCACATGATCAAAGAAAAATCAGCTCTGTATAGTAGAAACCCACAAAAAAATCCGTCACATACTTCAATAGGCTAATCCGAATAATGTACAGCAAATATGTTAAATGTGGGCTTTGAAATTGCTGTTCGGCTCGCCCAGTGAGGATATTTGGTTATTTCCTTAAACATTATTGCAGATTAGTAGACGACTTTGGAACATGCCTCAAAGTACTAATTGAGATCATGCACACAAGATAATATTTTACGAGCACTAAAACATGAACTGAAAACAAGATTATAAACAAATAATTATTGAT